TAACGCGTTGTTAGTGAAGCGAGGGAGCAGGGACACTCTAGTTTGTTATATAAGCAATTGTGGTCAACAATTTAGCTGCCGTTTCCGAGACATTCAGAAAAAGTATTTAAAAAATAAAACTTGCGCCAACTGGAATATTCTCTTCAAACTCTACACTTGCATTGGATGCATGTTATATCAGTGCATCAGCTTGCTTGATCGTAATGTTCCGTCTGATTGAATCGACACTCTAAATATCGTGCAGGTATATTCTCTTCATGTAAACGTTTCCTTAATTGTTGACCTAAAATGACCAAATTCACTGTTCCCTCTACGATGGATTCATTGACTTTTCATATATAGACTATCTATGTGAGGGCTCTGCACTGAGAGGGGACACACGTTTCCCGCGATTTCTCACAAGCATGGAGCCCCGTACTAACCTGACAAAGACGGTAGATCACCGTTGCAATCCACTCGTCGACCAAAGGGACTCGGCAGCCGGCGTCTTTTCGTCTTTCTTATTGTTCACTCATTTTCGCGCTCATGGCGCATGATGATGATGCTAATGACGATTAAAATATCCTCACTCTGGTGACGCTCACCCACATAGATGGGTGGGTGAAGAACAAGGTGGCGGGATGTTTAAGGGGAAGGCCTGCTGAGCTAAAGGTAGCTGCAAATTTCGACTTCAAATAAGGCATTCAGTCAAGCGAGATTCTAGAACAGCAAGTGGTCAAACGGTGAAATTGTTTCATGATGTTGATAGATAGGCAAACGGAACCTATACATGAAGGCATCAAATAGACCAACATGGTAACTTATCTGCTGCTTAGTCTAATGCTTCAACTCAAGATAAAGGTTGCATCTGTTTTTGTACTCGTAAGAGCCATGGTGGAAATTCGATGTTCTCAGCATTTCTTCTTGTAGTTTTTTGACAATGGGAAAAATAAGCCCACAATTCCCCTCATGAATTCGCAAAAGCACTCGAACGTAAAGTCATCTAGTGTGATTATATTACCGGGATCAATATCGCGCTTTTTATTCTTATTAAATGCGAAGCATTTCTTAGCGAACCTCGGCGACTTTGAGCGTATCTATCTATCTATCTATCTATCTATCTATCTATCTATCTATCTATCTATCTATCTATCTATCTATCTATCTATTTATCTATCTATCTAACTATCTATCTATCTATCTATCTAGCCACCTACGACTTTTAGCTCCCCTAGCCGTTTCGGTAATAATATCTACTACACCAAAATCGGTATTCCATAACATGACTGTAGGAAGAGCGTAACTGACTAGCCATAGCATGAAAACATTAACATGTATGTCATGATTCACGTTTCATGGTCTTGCTGCTTTTGCGGTGATTTCCTTCACATGACATGTCGGTAAACTGGTATGATATGACGTGACTGCATGGCGAACATAAGGGACAGACACTAACGTGGAAATCATTACATATATGCCATGTATGTCATGACAACATACCAAGCTCATTATGCGCTCGTGATCGTTTCGCTAGCTTCACATATACCAAATTTAGTATTACGTGACGTAAATGAACGACGAACGCGAATGCCAGGCGCAAACATGATGATCTTCACATGGAAGTCACGCAAGGCTTAGTTTACGTCCACCTCGTAACACTGTGCTTATTTTAAAGTGACATATCAACCTTCCTGACTCGTGCTTCGCATATCATCGATTCCCACTGCAGGTGCGATCTGCCAATTCTTTTTTTCCTCTCTCCCTCATTTGTTTCTGACAATAACAGTGCCAAGAAAGACGAGGCGCAGCTTGCGGGCTTGGCTCACGTGATCATCGCGCTTTATTTAACATACTTTACTGACACGAACGCCGCATAGACGAATGCAATGCGCAGTTCGCGCACCCCACGTGATAGTTTATAACCTCACAACATCGCTTCGATGCCTACAGTTCTAAAAATTTTTGTATTAAATAGAATGCCTGATCAACATAGAACACAGACTCGGAATTCGGGCAAACACCACTACTCGCCACTATTCCAATAAAGAGAACTGGAATAGAGAAGTAAATATGTAATTATGTAAAGAGCAAACAAGGCAGATGTGAAAATGAATAGCCTAAACGAAATACGAAATAAATAATTGAGCAAATAAGCAAGTGTGCAAGTGAATATTATAGAACAACCTGTGCACTGCACCTGCGGCCCACAGGCATCGATGTCGAAGGACTTTCAAAGTGCATACGCTAAATTCGAAAATTCTGGGCATCTCGGTACCTTTCATGAAAAATGTGCATCGCCTATATTTGTGCCGTGCATCGAACAGCTTTGGTGCTCATGCACCTACCTGCATGGAGTAGAACAACCCATGATTTTTTTTCCCTCTAATATCTGTGGGCTCTCCAACGGCACTTCATGCATCCGCAAGAAAGTGGCAAGCTACGCAAAGGTTTAGCTCAAGAGCTATATAAAATGTGTGTACATTCGAGAAAGAAAGTGCTAGCATAATGCGATTCTGGTTGTCAAAATAAAAAAAGGGGGCATTGTGCGATATCTTAGGCCTCCTTCAGTGTAGAAAGCTGATAACGCGACCACTTGTAGCACTGATAAGCGCAGGTCTTTATAATCCTCTTTATCGCAGAGCCACGGCAATAGAGTCACTCGAAGAATTGCTCCACGACTAGAAGGAGATGGATTCGGGTGTGTCGTTCCATGGGCACCTACAGTGGTTTTATATGATCGGGCAGCCAAGCGAATACCTTCTCAGGGAATAGGTGATTCTGTGATTCGTTGAAGATCCGAAGAAACCAGGGCGCATACGGTATGTGGGACGTTGCACGTTCCAGTTACGTTCTTACGTCATTTGCTTTACGACGCGGGAATGAGGCTTAACAAAACTCCCACAAAACTGCCACGCCTACTTTTGCTCAAAAAGACAGCTGTGCTAACTAGTTTTTCTTGCTTTTATTGCGAGTACCTTGCCCAGCTAATGTGATTACAAGGTCTAATAGAAGCTAAATTTCGTTGTTCTTACCTGAAATATTGAGTGAGGAATCTCGGAAGAAATGTACGAGGACGTTAAAGTTTTAGGTTCATTGAATAAATTGAAAGTTTTCAACAAATACCTCTGCATATTAAGCTATAGGTTACAAGATATTAAGCATCTTAGTGTTTACATAGAAAGTGTATACGTGTATATGTATGTACTTATATCACCCCTGCTATTTTTGTTTTTTTTCTTTCTTAGCTGTATTGTACATTCGTTGTTGCTCATTGCATTGGAACGGCCACTAGCCGCTTTAGAAAAGAAATCAGTGTAGCCACGTGTCAAACACTGGTGCCAGTGAGCGCTCAATATGCTACATGTGGCTACGCTATGGGAGGTTTTCTCTGGGTTACTCCGAGTGATCGTAGCATACGACAGCATACGACAGCTTGAGTTCCTAAAGTGGTCTACAATTTTCATGGGGTGTCTTCGAAAATAAGACGTCCTGCCCTTACATCTACGGACAGCACCCGACACAGTGGTGTCTCAAACGATCCCTCTCCCAAATGTCTCAAATCCATCACACAATTTGAGTGGGTTATCACTAAAACCATTTGGATTACAATACAGCATTCTTTCGAGTCTATGTGCCAGCGTTCGTTTACGAAGTGTCAACAGCCGTTTTCTTTTATGCGCGATCGATAAAAGACGTCGCGCTTAACTCTGTGAAAGCACAACTGCTCAGTATAGTTGCCCGTCATCAGGCGACGTGAGCTGATATCCTCGCAATGCAAAAGGTGATCACAATATCATAACTAAAGGCATCCACTTTTCTAGCAAACACGTACTAGATACCACGGTTCATCATAAAAAGAAGGGAGATCGCTCAGACTTACTGAAGAAATATATCTTGCGCTTTGAACTTGCTCGGACTCAGTCTCACCAAACTTTTCCTGGACCTGACTCAGACTCAAACTCGCCTAAATATTACTCACCCGGGCTCACCCTGGTTTACTCACGCTGGTGGTTCGATCTGAGTCTGAGTAACGCCGAGTGAGTTGAGTAGTAAGTGAATTCACCGACCTATGCTCGAGCCTAACCACAAAGGCCACACTTCACGCAACTATACTTAGCCTGTTGTAAATGCTCGCATGAATAATAAATGCGCTATGTCATCATCAACTAGCCCAGCTAAAAGCTCGACGAAATCCATCTTCAACCAACCAGAAGTCGATTTGGAGAACAGGTTTCTCAGGCGCTTGCATACGCGATCGATCAAGGTTAGGTATTGTGAACTAGAGCTCCCGATGCTTACCAAGTAGTTTTTTTGACACGTATAGGCTGAGTACCTAACTGATAAGGTCTACCGCTATTCCTTCTTGTGTACAGTGATCACGTTTTCTTAACTACATTTCGGTTCATCGAGGCGTAACAAGGGTTGCAGTGCTCGGCTGCTGCCCCGAAGCTGCGCCTTCAATGGTCGCTTTTCGATGGCAGTGAAATCCCCAAGAGAGTCCCTATTATAGTGGTCAATGTCAGCCTACTGGATGATTTCTGTGCGCATAAACGAACACCAGATGCCCGAAATTTCACAAGGCTGTGCCACCAACCCCAATCCCACACTCCTCTAATGGAAGTGCCAAGCTGCAGCACCTTACCTGTCACCAAGTCAGAACTGGTGCTTTATTGGTTAATGTACAGGGTACGTACATGCAGGTTTTTGACAATAATGACGGACATGAACTCCTTGTGTCGCGTTTTGACAACGATTTACTCCCCACCATTTGCTTCCTACAGCCGGGATTGAAATAGCACAGTGGCGATCAGCACGTCCTTGCGTCATTTCCTTTTCTGCTTCATCATGGGGAAACTTGCTTTCTGCCGTTCTCTTCCAATGCGGGAAGAAAGGGGAGGGGGGGATCTGCGATAAAACTGAGCCTCACTCCCGGCCCACCTTTAATGTGGAACCCTGCGATCGCCTATGGAACTGAACTCAGTCTATGGGAAGTGCTTATTTTTCCTACTTTCTATTTTCAGTCGTTCATTGGTTACTCTCGAAGAAAAGGATAGAGTGACTCAACAGTGGAGATGAAAGAAATCAGTGCTCTGATTGGACCACCGCGGTGGTACCACTTGGTCGTCTGGTTGCTGACCTTCGTGCGGGCGTTTCCTTCATCCTGGACGCAACTGGCGGCGTTGTTCGTGGCCGCGGACGTCGAACACTGGTGCTCGAGGCCCAGCGACCCATCCTTCGCGAACTGGACAGAGCAACGCTTGGAAGGCCGAAGCCATTCCCCTTGTCAATGGTTCTCGCCTCTCGGCGGCGGGCCCGAAGTTCGAGTCCTGTCTGATGTTTGCCGTGGAAACCATAAGCGACAATGCTTCCGCTGTGCTCTTCGATCAATCGAGGACGGTGTCGTGTGACGCGTGGTCATACAACGAGACTATACCAGGATCATCTGCAGTGCCAGAGGTGTGTTTTTTTTGTATTGTATATTAAGCAACTTAGAATAAACGAATGACATCAGTAGGATGGTTGATACCCTTGTTTCCCTTCCAAGCATATTCTTCAAAGCACTTACTTGCGGTTTTGCAATATTCATAAAAGTTCTTCTCAAAAGTAGAAATCGGTGGTTCTATTTCAAATTAAAAGTTACGTTGGACACATACTATATTGGGAGATTACTTAAAATAAACGCCAATTAACTTTCGGAACATTGAACGAAAAACTAATTGACTTAGTTCATGGAAACATTGAGCTGCTGGGATTGTGACAGCACCTACTCAAGCCGATCTGAAATAACTGCTTTATTCTAGGGGCCTCTGGGATGAGCTTTGGCAGAGTGACCCAAGGAATACACTAAGTTGGTCGTGTCTGTGCCGACCACACACTTTATTTGATTGATATGTGGGGTTTAACGTCCCCAAACCACCATCTGATAATGAGAGACGCTGTAGTGGAGGGCTCCGGAAATTTCGACTACCTGTGGTCATTTAACGTGCACCCAAATCTGAGCACAAGGGCCTACAACATTTCCGCCTCCATCGGAAATGCAGCCGCCGCAGCCGGGACTCGATCCCGCGACCTGCGGGTCAGCAGCCGAGTATCTTAGCCACTAGACCACCGTGGCGATGTCCGACCACACACTTAAGCCAAAGAGTACCGCCATGACATAACAAGAACTTTATTGCGGTCCAGAGGAAAACAGATCTAAAGAGCCGGAGGCTGCCTGAAATGAATTTGGTTGCTCAGCGCACGAGGGGACAATAGAAGTGCCGCCGTGATTAGCGTCGCCTCCAAAGTGTTGGTATGGGACAAGCTAATCGACGATTTAGAGTACGACGTACTCTACTGTGGGAGAGCAACACGCTGTGTCGATGAAAACGTTTCAATCATTGTGTGTTTATAAGACGTGTTTTACAATTTAGAATACTTAGTACTGTACTATCAGAAAACAGTTTCACTACGGTCACGAGACAAGTGACGTCGCAGAAAGTGATTGGGGGGGGGGGGTTAGAAAAAGGGGGTAACGATTTAGAGCACAGGGTACTCTACTATGGGAGAGCTTAAAGCCGTCCCGAGGTGAAAATGGAACACGCTGCACGGCTGTTGCGGACGTGCAGCTTTAAAAACTCACTGATTTTGGGTGTCGTGCGGAACGGAATTGGTGAACGTGAACGCACAAAAATGAGGTCCTCAAAAGTGCACTGGTGCCATGTGTATTTGCACGCACCGTATCACGATAATTGACACTCTACTGATCGTGGACTCATCGGCGATTGACCGTTTTTCTTATGTCACTCTGATCATTTATTCTAGTAGTTTATCATTTCAATGTGTCACATTTTATTGTTGGCTGCATATGAATGCACGACCGTCGTTGTCGCTTGTAGCAACTGAAGTGTTTCAAGTGTTGCGCTACCAAGAAAGGACTAAAAAAGATACGAAACAAAGAAACAGACAGAGGAACAATCAAACGACGAAAGAACGAAAGAAAGAAAGAAAGAAAGAAAGAAACAAAAAAGAAACAAAGAAGAAGAAAGAAAAGAAAGAAAGAAAGAAAGAAAGAAGAAAGAAAAAGAAAAGAAAGAAAGAAAGAAAGAAAGAAAGAAAGAAAGAAAGAAAGAAAGAAAGAAAGAAAGAAAGAAAGAAAGAAAGAAAGAAAGAAAGTAAGAAAGAAAGAAAAAAGAAAGCTAATTATACGTCAAGTTTGCCTATGCCAAGCATCTCTTGCCCCCATTTTCCCAATAGGCGATAACTCTTGAATTTCCTTATTTTGTTCTTGTGTTTTTATTCTTACAGTGGGACCTCGTGTGCCAACATGAATGGCAGCGATCCATGATGACAAGTGTCGTGTTTGTGGGATCCCTCGTAGGATCACTCTTCATGGGCCACATGTCTGATAGGTGAGCACTATGACTTAGGGCTATTAACGAAATGGAGTGTGCCAATTTGTGTGTCGAGTGATCCCCGTACACTCGTTCCTAACATCTTCATTTCACGCTATGTGGGTGCAAAATTAGCTTGTACGATGCTCAGCATAGGTCGGCAATCTCCCTCAGACTCAAGTCGAGCCTTGAGTCGCAGTAGTCCGAGCGAGCCACAATCGCGAAATGTAGTTTTTGAATGGGTATTTGTAAGCTCCCCTTCTCTGTCTACATTTAGTACTACCTGCTGAACTTCAGCACTGGTATCAGCCTTATAAATGCTTACGTTTAGGGGGAGGGGGAGGGCAAAGACGACTGAAGATTTCATTTTTCACGAACAAGCGCTTCCACGAAGTGGCGCCTTTTCACGCGCAGTGGAAAGCATTCGAAAATGGGCCCAAACACGCCTGATCCCGTGACTGCGACGTATCAACTTGAGGCGGCGCAGTCCCAGCCTGAGTCAACTTTACAATGACATATGCAAGGTTTCTCTAAGTCATGCTTGTATATTCTACTGACCCTAATTTTCGACTTCTTTTGCCATTTGGACCCTCCCGTCGGAATGCAACGTTGTTGTGTCGCGTGTGGCTGGGTGTGGCATTTACGAATGCATACTGTCACCTCACTGGAACGGCCAACAGTGTGCCATGGAATTTATGTGACGCGGAGAAGACGAGGGAGCACATCCTGTCGCACCGATCCTGCTAGACCCAAGGAGACGCGGGCGCTTCGCGAAGTGATCGGACGCGACGCTCATCGGCTCCGTCGATTTTCGGCTGGAACCGTGCTCTCTTCAATGTGGCTGCTCTAAAACTTGTGTGACTGCATCTGCCAAGTCAGCAAGATTCTGGGGACACCGATCTCACCAAGGTACGCCCAATTTTCGGCCACTTCGAGCAACTTTGCATCACAACGTAGCGAACGAGCTAAGCCTCACGGCGGCGGCTCCGCCGCTGCTGGATGCGGAAACGCCGCTCGGTCAACTCCTCAACATGGCGCTGCCTGAACAACGTGGCTACGACCCTACGACTCTGTCGTGGTCGTATATCCCGACAAATCCATCAGACGACGGCCCATCCACCATTTCGGCGGAGCAAGCCGACATTTTTCAACTCGTCGAGGGTCGGCGTCGCCGCCGAAGAAACGCGGAAGGAGCGTCTGCACTGAAAACTCCTCTCAACAATTCAGCCACTGGAGACGCTCGCGCTCCATCTCCTAAAGCTCCACAAAAGACTTCACCAGTCTCCAAGTGGACGCCGAAACCAACGGTCAGGATGAATCCTGGCGACTACGTGATCGTGCTCAAGCCACGCATCACAGTAGCCCTCAAGGCAGCGTTTCAACAAGGTGAGCTCGGCGCTGCCATTTCCCAACTCATCGGAAGGCAGCACATGAATGACATCAGCATTTCTCCCAATTGGGAGCAAAACATCATCATCTGTGGCACGCAGAATAACGAGGTGGCTCAGAAACTGCTGTCGGACTTTCAAATCAACACCAGCAAAGGACCGCTGCCGCTTCGCGGTCACCTCAAGCTCACCGGTGATGTGTGTCGCGGCGTGATTTCTGTGCACAACCTCGAAACCAGTGCGTCTCTGAAACATAGTGTGCAGTGGCGTGGCGGTGAACTAGTCTATGCGCGCAAGCTGGGGAACTCCAACGTAGCTGTGTTGACTTTCGCGGAAAGGAAGGTTCCGCGTTTCGTCCACTATAACGCAGAACTGACTCCCGTCAGGGAGTACAAGAAGACAGTGCCAGCGTGCTACCGCTGTGGTGCACTGGGGCACCGGGCGGATATCTGTCCCAACCCGGTCACCGAAAGATGCAGCCTTTGTGGCCAAAATATGGGCGCTGGTCCTGAGGGGATGGCCCCCCACGAATGCAACCCAACGTGCATAGTTTGCGGGGGTCCGCACCTCACCAGCTCCCGCGAATGCACTGAAAAATTCATCAGGCTTCAGCAACCAGGGTCCAGGACATCGGGGACCCCAACAAAACCAAAGCACCGGTCAACTGGCAAAGTGCCAATTCCTGGCAAAGCAGCAACGGCAACGCTGCCACCTGTCGCGGCGGAATCTCCAGCTCTCGGCGCTCCATCTGGCAACGCTGCACGCAACCAACCCAAGGTGGGCAGTTGGGTGGAGGTCGCCTCCTCTCCCTCCTCTCTCTCCTCTCCACCTTCTTCTGCCACAAGCACTACCGAAACACAAAAACTCAGGCATGAGCTCGCCCTTTTGCGATCTCAGAATGAAAAACTAGCCAGCGAACTTGACTCGCTCAAAACCAATCTCACTACTAAGCCCTCGTTGAGCGACGAAGAGGAAAATATAACAGACAAGGAGATTCCTACTACTGTAGAGAGTCGCGTCGCGGCCCTGGAGACCCAGGTGAATACAATAGAAACACAATTGGCCGACCTCCCCAAAATTATCCACGACACCATCGCGCGTCATATGGAGACTGTCATCGCACAGGTGACACAAACAGTAACTCACATTATCCAAAAGTGGATACAAGACAATCCACGCGTCCTCAAGCGCGTAGGGCCAATTAGGGATGTTAATCGCCCCTCAAAATTTAACAGAGTGACTCCAGATGAGTCGGACTTTTCTGAAGATTCCAGTACGTCAGCACAGGGTGCTGGTGAACTGAGTAATCTTAACAACACAACCCCACCCTCTGTCTCCGAACATGGCCTCCAACCCTAGGTCGCGAGCCAGAGCAACTCAGCCGTTGTTACTAACACAGTGGAACTGCAGAGGTCTCAAGAACCACAAGAAGCGGGCTCATTTCCGCCTCTATCTTGAGACCTTTGAGTTCCTTGTTGCCGTGGTTGCCCTTCAGGAACCCGGCTCGGACGTCAAACTCACAAATTACACTACATTTCAACACAACCCGGAGACATGTATACTTGTTCACAAGCAATATACCGCCCAGGAAGTCACACTCCCCACAACACCGCCTTTCCCATACACAATGGTGTCGGTGCTGCCTATAAGGCGATCTGACCCACCTGTTCATATTTTAAACATTTACTGTCCCCCAAAGCTTAAGAACGTCACGTTCAGCGAAACTTTCACACAAACTATGCAGGTGGCAGGACGGGACCCCCTCCTGATCGTCGGTGACTTCAATGCCCCAAGCAGGTTATGGGGTTACCCACGAGAGGACACGCGTGGAAGGAAGCTTGCGGAACTTCTTTCTACACTTGGACTCACCCTCCACACTGATCCCGCCAGCCCAACACGTGTAGGCAACTCTGTTCAACGAGATACTTGCCCGGACCTCACAATTACACGCAACATACGCCATGCCGACTGGCTGAACACACAGGACACTCTCGGTAGTGATCATTGTGTATTAAACACAACTGTGTACATGCGTCCATTAAAACGCCCCCTTACACTAGCTCGTATCCCAGACTGGACAACTTTCCGCACCACTCTACCTATTGTAGACCCTCTCCAGTCGGGATACGACACCTGGTCTAAATCACTGACGTCTACACTGAAACAACACGAACAGCTGATACAGCTCACGGAAACTCAAACGGACGTGGACAACCACCTCCTCCATCTTTGGCAGGCTCGCCGCAGCCTCACCAAACGATGGAAAAAACAGAAACATAACAGACGCCTCAAGAAACGCATCCTAGAACTCACGGAGCAAGCTGCGGAATATGCTGCTCAGCTAGCCGACACTAACTGGGTGGACAGGTGCAACACGGCTGCACGCCAGATGTCTGGTCGCAACACGTGGCGCCTGTTTCGCGCTCTCATCGATCCAACACAAACACGCACGGAAACTCAACGTCGCTTGCATAAGGTTATGCACAACTTTACAGGAACGACAACACAGCTGGCAAACACGCTCAGGGACCGATACCTGTGCACCACCAAGGACCCCCGGACGGCCGCATACTCCTACGCAGGCAAAAAGAACACGCAGTTGGACACCCCGTTCCAGCTCCACGACCTCCAGGCGGCCTTACGCAAGATGAAGCGTGGCACTGCACCAGGGCGTGACCAGGTTACGGTCAAACTGTTGGCCAATCTTCCCGACGCAGCCTACGCCACGCTCCTCAAATACATCAATAGCATTTGGGACGGAGAAACTCCTCTCCCTCTTGAATGGAAATCAGCTCTCGTGACCTTCATCCCGAAGGCAGGTAAACCTATTGACGTGGAGAACCTTCGCCCCATCTCCCTCACGTCTTGTGTCGGCAAGCTGATGGAAACGATGGTGCGCGACAGACTCTCCGAGTTTCTAGAAAAACAGCACACTTTTGCGGACACCATGTTTGGATTCCGCCCTCAGAAGTCAGCCCAGGATATACTTCTACAGCTCCACCATGACATATTAGATCCTGTTGAATGCCCCCACAATGACAAGGTAGTCCTGGCCTTGGATCTTAAAGGAGCATTCGAGAACGTGAAGCATGAGGTAATCCTTGACCACCTCAGTCAGACCAACTGTGGTTATAAAACATTCAATTATGTTAGACAGTTTCTTACAGACCGTCGAGCCTACATACGCATACAAGATGAGGAACATGGGCCTTACGTCATCGGCTCGAGGGGAACTCCTCAAGGCGCGGTCCTCTCTCCCCTCCTATTTAATATAGCCATGCTTCATCTTCCCCCCAAATTGGCTTCTTTACCAGGGATACATCACGCTCTTTACGCGGATGATATCACGATCTGGGCCACGCAAGGTAACCTGGGTCACATGGAGTCATGCCTGCAAGCAGCAGCGACTGTAGTCGACGACTACGCAACCTACTGCGGACTCCAGTGTGCCCCGGCTAAGTCAGAATTTGTGCACGTACGTCCCTCCCCTCAGGACACAACTCAGCTCCATATCAGTCTTCCCTCGGGACCGATCCGTGAGGCCAAGGAGATCCGCGTCCTTGGCCTCTTCATACACCACCAACGCAAGGCCGACACCACAATAGCCAAACTTCGCACGGTGGGAGACCA